CTGCTGGCTCTTTTGGTTAGGATAAGCGTGGTCTACGGCGTTGATGTTGGTGACATAATCATGAATCACCTTACTCAACCGGATCGCTCGGAGGCCTTCTGGTTGCGTTGAACGCTTGGCAGGAAGTACAACATCCTCGAGGAGTCTTGACGAAGCGACATGGCTTTCCAAAGCTCGCATATAGGGTCTGACAGAAGCGACAGATCGCTCAAAAAGCTGCAGAAGCTCGGGAGCAGTCCGTTGTTGAGGTCGTGAAGAATGTGCGTGTTCCACTAGCACTCCTTTCAAGAACCTACCGCTGTTCATCAAACGAAGTTGGAACTCATGAGGATGGGCGTACTGGCGTAGCTTTGGGATAACACGCTCCCGCGACTTGCTATAATTACGCCAGACTTGCTTCAAGTAGCCACCAGTCGTCGCCAGGGAGGATTCGAAACTACCGCTTAAGGACAGTAAGAGATTAGAATGTCTGTTGAAGGCGGACCTATCGGCACCATGGACATCGGATGTAAGCTTGGCGAGGCGACGACCTAGCTTCTGGCGGAGTGAGAAGGCTGCATCAAGAGGTATCTTCTTCAACACATCTTCCAATAGCTGCGCATGCAGGAGACACATCAATGTCTTGTAGTGGAGTCTTCCGACCTCTGCACCCAAGTGGTGATACAAATAACGCTGGACTGCTACTCGGAGGACCAGATAGAAAGCGGATCTCCTCCATGGTGTCCGAGCATTATCAAAGGTAACTGTGTCACGCACTCGCTTTCGCAGACGTGGAACTGCAACTGCAGCGCCATTGGCCTCCAGTATAGTCATCAACAGGCCAGATATGAGAGCGGGATCACTGGTGTCTCGGATCTCGGGAATCGTGGCGGCTGCCTTCCAGGTGATAGCGGCAAACTTTGTGACCGACTCGCTGCTAGCTTGTTCGATGAAACTGGCGACAGCTTCCTGGAAAGCTTCTTCGTTGATAGTGGATGCTGGGACAGATACCGCGCAGCCGGGGACTACATGTAGGTTCAAGATCAGTAAATGTGCGACACCGATGTATATGTCAGTCACTTACAGTCCCATTGTAGCGCACCTTTGGCAGCAAGCACCTTGTCGGCTGTGGCGGATGTCTCAAATGCTTCGAAAATGATGTTGCGCTCGCCGGAAGTATTGTGGGGATACACGAGCAAAGCGCAGTTCTGAGGTGCGATGTGCAGAACAAGCATTTTCCCATGGCTGAAGTCGCGAAGCTCTTTCATCAGCGCCGCCTTGCCGATGGTTCCGTCGACATTGAATATTTGACACGCGAGCAATGTTTTCCGCAGTCCTTGGACGTGCGGAGCAACATCTGCAGCGACATGGGGGGTAAGCCTCGCAACGGCGTCAAGCATACGCTTCAAGAGAGCCTCTTCGACGCGATGCAGGTTGCCATCTTCGCGGCCAGGTACATTGCGGGGCAACGCGATATGATAGTACTGCTGCTCAAGAAAGGGCACCCGCGCGGCGGACGCCATGGCTGTTTCGAGTGCCTGCTGCAACGAGGCAGCGGGCGGGGGCAAGAACGAGTGTGAAAATTTGCAATACGACGAAAGTGCGGTATTGCAATGTTGCAAGAGTAGGCGGGTGGTGGTGTTGTCGAAAACGCGACTGCTTGATGAGGGCGCGGTACCAGGGTTGACTTAGGTGCCAAGCATTGTTTTGCTAGGCGGCAGCAACGCGTAGGCGCCCTCCCCAACGATGAGCGATGAACGATGAACAATGAGCCTTGCCAGAAGTCGTGGAACACCAAAGCGCAGTCTCGGGCCAATCCTCTTGCCACCGGTGAACGAGTCTGCATGAGGAGACATGCCGGCTAGCGAATGGGTGACTGAGGCACTGTACGGCGCTACGAGAAACCCTCAGCCTCGCCAGTTCCGAAAGAAGAGGCCATGATGGACATGGCGATTGATTTCCAGGATTAATGATACTGGGCGCTTCTATTAGGCATGTCTTGACGTCCGCAATTGACTCCTACTGTCCACGCATCAATCAAGTGGAGGATGCCTGGCGAAGGTGGGAGTAACAGAGAAGAACGAAACTGTGTTGTTTCCGAAAAGCGATAACGCAAAAAGAGAAGGAATGAGTCCAGATTGGCTGAGAGAAACGCTGCTGAAATGACAAGGATGATGGAGACGTGGCCTGCATCAAATGGAAAGAACGACCTACGTGTGCTAGTGTAGCATCACTACTGCTCTTCGACCTTGGAAGCTGTCTATCACCTTGAAGTGAAGGCAGGAGTTGTTTAGGTTGTTTTCAGCCGTCCAGACGACAACAGAATTGTCGATAGAGCTCATCCAGACGTTCCGACGCGCGTGCTGGTGAAGCGCGTGTTGTGACGCGACAAAAGTAGATAGCGGCAGATTGGAGGCATGTTCTACTTCTCAGCGCATCAACGGTAGTTGAGCGCAAGTCTGTGGGAGCTTCGTGATGATGCATGATGGAGTTGTGGACTCATAGCTGAGAGAAGCCTGGTGGTGAGAGGTTTGACGACGCGTGAGGTACAATCGCATTTACCCGGCCCCTTGCCTAGCTCCACAGCTAGCAACATAGCGCCTTCCCCTCCCTTGTCTGCCTTTCGCATTTCCAGTGCATTTATCTCTCTGCTCCAATGACATCTTTTACATTTTCTGCGAACCCCCAATGAAGCCGTCGAACGACAGCGGCGAGCTCCAGCCGATCTCGCTGCCTCATGGAGGGCAAACTTCATCCGTAAACGGCATATCGGCTGCAGCACCTGCCTGCCTCGGTTACTCTCTCCCCAGCTATCACCGCTATGCCTTGTGGGTTTATTCCCGCTAGATTAATCATCGCCACCATGAAGGCGGGAAAGTGCGAAAGGGCGCCTATGACTAGCCCATCTCGAGCTCCAAGGCGCGACATTGGAGGTTGTGGATGAGTCTCTACACGCATCACCACTAGCTGGCTCGATGCGCCCTCGTTTCAATTATTCATATACTGTGTTTATGCTACTAGAATAAGCAGCGGGAGCTCGTTCGTCGGTACGCATTCGCTATTGGTCGAGTCTGGGATCTCATCGGCGCCGTCATCAGCACTATGTCGCACAGCAACTTTACCCAAGACGCGGCCGCGGGAACGACACCAGGGACACACGCCAGGAACACCCCGCCGTCACCCAAGTCGTACACTTCAGACAAGTCCCGCGTAATCGAAGACGTCGAAATCGAAGTGGACCGCGCCTCCATATCGTCAGCGTCGACGCATTCCGATTCGATCAACTCGGCAGTAGATCAACGTCCGTCGATACATCATACATGGAGCAGGAATACAGGGCACTCGTGGCCTGGCGATAAGGAGGATGCGATCGCAACTGTCACAACGAACGCGACGCAAGACCCGCGCTTCGAAATCGACTTCGAGGATGGAGAAGATCCGGAGGACTGGCCCATGTTGAGGAAGGCTGTTGTCATCTTCTTCATGAGCTTTTCGACACTGGTCGTAGTTATGTACTCGACAAGTTATACAAGCGGCATACCGGGCATGATGGCAACATTTGGCATCCAGTCGAAGACGTTGGTCATCTTGGGGATAACAACCTACTTGTGTGGTCTGGCGATTGGATCACTGCTACTGGCACCGCTTAGTGAGATGTACGGCAGGAGGCCCGTCTACCTTATCGCTGTCGCATCCTTCACCATCCTCGTCATACCATGCGCTCTATCGAACAACCTAGCTCAGATCCTCGTCATGCGCTTCTTCGGTGCCATCGCGGGCGCGGCTATGATTTCCAATGCTCCAGGCACCGTCTCCGACATATCCAAGGAAGACTATCGCGCATTGGCTTTTTCGATATGGTCTCTAGGGCCAATGAACGGGCCTGTCTTCGGCCCTCTCGTTGGTGGCTTTGTCTTCCAAGCCCTCGGCTGGCGCTGGACGAACTGGGTCGTCATGATCGGCTCTGGCGCATCCTGGTTCATGGTCTTTCTGATCCCAGAAACATACAAACCAGCGATTCTCCGCGCCAAGTCAGCCAAGAAGCGCAAAGAAACGTCCGACCCACGATACTACTCTCGCTACGATGAGAAGAAGGCTTTCTGGCCTCTACTACGGGAGAACCTCTACCGGCCGCTTAGTATGGCGGTCAACGAACCGATTTGCATCTTCTGGGACGTATACATAGCATTGGTCTACGGAGTTTTGTATCTGTGCTTCGTTTCGTACCCCATCGTTTTCGGTGAGCTGCGAGGTTGGTCGCCTGGACTTGTTGGACTGGGTTATATGGGTATTGGCATTGGCGGTGTCATCACGATAGCATCGGAACCGCTGCTTCGTCGCATGATCAACAGTCATAAGAAGGACCCAGAGACTGGTAAGCCATACCCAGAGGCTATGGTCAGTGTGGTTGTCATCGCCGCGGTATTGGTCCCCGTGGGCGAGATGATCTTTGCTTGGTGTGTATCCCTCCCCATCTAGATGTCGTCTGTACTAACATGATTACAGGACATGCACTCCCAACGTCCACTGGATTTTCCCCCTCATCGCCGGCATCCCCTTCGGCGCCGGAAACTGCGGCGTCTTCATCTACGCGTCAAACTACCTCGTTCACTCCTACGGCATCTACGCCGCGTCCGCTCTCGCTGGAAACGCCGTCCTACGATCCGCCATGGGTGGTGCTCTTCCCCTCGCAGGTCCAAAGATGTATCAAAGTCTTGGCCCACATTGGAGTGCTACAATGCTGTCGCTGATCGAGTTTGCGCTCATACCCATTCCGGTAGTCTTTTACCTCTATGGACATAAGATCCGGGAAAAGAGCGCCTTGATCAGGCAGATGAGGGAGGATAGGGAGAGAGTTGATGCGAAGAAGAGGAAAGCTGCTGAGAGGATGGAGAAGATGAGGGGTGGTGTGCTTGATGAGAAGAAGTTAGACGTTTGATAACCTGCATGTATGAGGATCATCGATACACCGAACTAGACTATTGTTCACCAAGATGCATTTGCACGGCTGGTATGATGCCCTATGCTTTCTGACCAACGCGTACAATGTCATGAGCATCAAAGCAATCCTCGTCTACTCCACTAACAATACTCCATGTCTCACTTCCATCCTGCTCTTCCCCCAGTATCACATATCCATCTTGCGAGCCATCCCCCCAGTCACTGAGATCGCTGTCCCAGCCTTGGTCATACTCGTCCAGCTTCTCTTCTTCAACTCCCTCTTGCTGCATCCGCCTCAGATCCTCATCCGCCTCCATCCTCACCCTCAACTCCCCGCTAGCCCACTCAACAAGACTACACCTCCGCACCTCCTCCGGCGCCGGAACCTCCCACTCCGTCCCCACCCCAAACTCCGCACAAGCACACTCCCGATCCAAAGTGCACCAACACGAACAAGTGCAAGTCCCCCCACCCACCTCCGAGCATTCATATCCGCAGCCAAGAAACCAGCACCCAGACAGGTTCCTATGCCACTGCCAGATATACTCGCCCGACCACCAGAAGCCTGGTATCACGGGTAGGGCGGGTTCGTTGCGGCTACGGCAGCGTTGTTTGAGGATTTTTGGAAGGGTGAGGATGCAGGCTAGTGTGGCGTGGGCGCGGATCTCGGAGAGGGTGGTGGGTAGGGTTGTTTCGTGGGGTTTGGCAAACGCCGCGGTGGGTATGGTGGCGCTGACACGACCGGGTCGCCTGGTGTCGCGCATGGTGTGTGGGAGGATGGCCAGCGGCGCGGGGCTCGTGGGTTCGCCGTAGGTGTGTATACGGTGTTCTTTGACGCGCTGCATCTCTGCGATGCGACGCCGGGCCCAGGTGCCAAAGTCCTCGCCCGCTGTGATGTCTCCGGAGGCTGTCCCTTCGAAGAGATGGGCGTTCTTGCCGAAGAGTTCGTATGCCTCTATGTCATCCATATGCTCCATGTCTACTTCATGCGCCCATCTGTCGTAGCAGTCGTTCTCCCATTCTCGAATGTCTGCCTGCTTGTACTCGTGCCGAAGCTGGTTCTCTCGTGCGAGACGGTATCGGTCATTGCGACGACGCTTGTTACCGCTGTAGATGCGCTCGGGGTACTTCTTCGATCGTTGGCGTACGCGACGGGCTGAGCGGAGGTCTTTGAAGGGGTGGTCTGAAGTCCGGCCAGCGGCATTCATCGCAGGTTCGGAAGGGAGGGTGAGGAAGCCGAAAGGCAGGTCCTCGTGTGTTTCTGGCAACTCGCCCATGCAGGCAAAGCACCAATTGGCGGGATGGCCAGCCCATTCGAGCGTCTTCTGCTTCATCCTGACAGGTTCGAGGCGAAAGGCTCCTGGAGCGACTTGCAGACGGAAGGCCTAGCTGTGTAAGTTATACGTAGGTTAGCCATCATTTCAGCGGTCTCCAATGATCATAAACAAGCCTGGATATGCCATCCTAAGGCGTTCTGCTGCCTGCGCGGTTCAGCCCTCATGCAATAGACGAGGGCGCATAGCTGTGCAGAAGGGCGGAACTGGACGGCAATGTTGCCGCAGAATCCAGCCACGACGTTGATCTATAATTGATGAGTGTTGGTCATCTTCCGTATTAGGCCTAAGCTCGCGCGGCTCTACTTTTGTACAATATTATGGTGTGTGGAGGGAAGGTGTGATCGCAAAGTTGGGTGGGCGCAGCTGAGTTCAGAAGGCGCGTGGTAACTTACCAGACACCCGCAATCGACGGCTTTGGCGAAATTGCCTGATTCGGACTAAACGCGAAACAGCACACCCTGAGCCAGGACCATAATCCCCAATACCTCACCTCAATCTCGATCCACTTATTTGATCAATGTGCTGCTCACATGCGGGCAAAACGATGTTAATACAGGGACAACAGCTTGGTGATATTGCCAGCTTTGGTTCATCGACGAAGTCTCCAGAGCACTATTCAAATGTATCGTTCAGTTTGAGCATCTATCTTTGTGTTTTCTGTTGGCTGAGTACAGCTCGAATGAAGCCAGCTTCTGCTTTGAATAGCCAAAGAATTTCTAATACACATGGAACTCCTCGAGCTCAGTTTCACGATGCGGCAACGTCCTTGAACGTAGGCGAAGATTTCCCACGGATGGTTTCGACTGTAACAACCTATAAGGATAAAAAGCGATGCTCTTGATTCTGACACCTTCGCTACCATCGGAACAGGGGCGGACGATTATTGGTATTGCGACTCCTGGACATTTTACAATAAGGTCGCCAACTTTGACACTTCGTCGACATTCGCCTACTCTAGCTTGTGAAACAGGTCCCGAGTAGGAGTCCTGGAACAGTATCCTTTCTCGTTCGGCTAGGATATTGCAGGTAGCAATATGGAATCTGAGTAGTTCATGATCTCCGATAGCTACAACATCTGGAATCTCCCCATATGAAGCATCTCGTAAAAGAGCTAAAAGCGCCGGGGCATCCTTGCGTCCATGTAGGCATAGAAAGCGTTTCCAAATGCGATATTGGGAATGAGTACCAGCATTCACATAATGTGGCAAGTCCATCCTCCTTGCCTCGAGAAGCTGTAGCATTGTCCTCAAGTTAAGGATATGTTTGCGAAGCTCGGCTTGCTGGTATTTGGACTGAGTTTTGTGAAAGACGAAGGTTGCGACAACTACGCCTTGTCGACGACCGCGGATTGATACCGCACGATCGCCCATCATTGAGATGCGTATCTCGCCCAGATTTTTATGGTACGCCTCCTCTTTGACGTAGTTGGAGCGAATAAGTAGCTCGATGTCTCCCCAGTGACACTCACGTTTCCCATTGGGCGTCCAATCCGGCGCCCAAGACGGCTGCCCCTTCATATTGTTCATTCCCGCGATCAGAATTAGATGTGGTGATCCTGTTATCTGGAAAAGAAGCCGAGAGAATGCGACGTAGATTGATTCTTTGGATTCTTTATAGTTCAACTGCGGCATGGAGAGCCGAGTGCGCCGTTGCAAGATAGCCCATAAGCCAAAAGCCATGTCTTTGGGCGCCGTAGCATTTCGGGTATAGGCGCCGTCAATGAGTTCATCTACATTGAATTGGCGTTGTACCCTGCGCCATGAAGCGTACGAAAAGTGCGGGCGCGCAAGGTGCAGGCGGAAGGTCGCTACGATGACGATAAAGCAACATGTCCATGAAACGGCCCAAGCTACGCTCGATCCGGTGGAACTTGGTGATTTGGGTCGAGAGAGTGCGTAAAGTATGTACCAGGCGGAACATACAACCGACAGAACAGAAAATCCGAAAATTACTACATGTATCAACTGTTCAAAGTAGCACATGCGCCCCGAAAATTCCGTGTAGACCTCCATAGGGCATTCTTGCGCAGGCTTCGGACTTACATGTCCCGGATCCATTTGTTGTCTACTCAGAGCAACGCTCTTCCAAGGACGTATACAGGACCCAAGAAAAGGACACTCCGCATCGAGAAAGGCTAGACTGATCGCGAAACGGTCCCAGCAGATATGGGCACTACCGCATACTAAGATCGGGCTCACTGCGAGAAGGATCTCCTGGTAAGTCCAGATTCTACGGATCCAGTTCCGCCGTAGCAGATGCAGAATGTCGTCTTGGGTCGCGTATTTTGCCTCTCTGCCCAATAGTCCAATGATGAGAGGGCCCAGAGGGCCCCGCCATGAACCGACAGAGTCTCCATGAGTCAGCAGAGAAACGAGTGTGCTATCAAGAGACTCACTACGGAAGACAAAGGGGTGTCTTGTCAAGCTCCAACGTGCTATAGTGGCCGAACAGGCTGCGAGGAACGGGCGCCAGTAGCCAACTGTGTGAGTTTCGCCGTTATTTCTCCCCGCCTGGAAGTAGTCCAGAAAACCAGCGGTCTTCATGTAGTTGATCGCACGATCAGTCTTTTCGTTTCCCTTACCCAGCCACACATATACAGTTGCTGCTTGCGAGTATATGTCCCCCATTAGCAGAATCTGGTCTTCCTTCTCCTTCGTGTTCGCCTGATCAATGCAGATCGCATCTATCCATATTGTGAAAGGCCCGAGGCTCGTTCGTAGATGCCGTAGTGCTGAGTACCCGTTGGCAGAAACGACGATGTCAACGCCATTGCATGCGATGGTCTGATCCGGTTCTGGTGAGCTCCAGACGTACGAGAGGGCAGTGAAGCTGGGGGAGGTCGTCAGGTCCACGACACGAAGGTTGCCAACTATGTCTGCCGTGTCTGTCGACGCTGCAATGATGTCGAGAACGCGTATGCACTTCGAGGCTGAAGGTAGGGTTAAAGAGCGATATGGCTCCGCGACGGATTGTTCTGCCATGGCTCTTCGGGGCCGCTGGCCGAAGAAGAGGGATGTTCAGAATGCGCGAGGGATTTCTGCGGAGACGGGATGAAAAGATGTATTGCAATGCATCTGCATCCGAGGGAAACTGGGCCACACATGCAGAGAAGGCTGAAAAGACGCGTCTTCTGTGTGATCTGATCGGTAAGTCCACTTCATCCACATGATAGGCCCCGCCGTTGGCTGTTGGTCCCTGTTCACAATTTCATCAAGGCATACAGAGCGAGTCTTCCAATCGTGGGTTCTGAGGCGTGCTCTGCTCGGCGACCAGGCCTCGCGGTAATTGGGGGCCAGGCTGCAGGCTTGCATAGCCCCACGATCATGGCTTTGCGAATGTCCCTAATGAAAGAGGGAACTCAGGGAGGCCTTTCCATCAGTATCATAGAATGTTTGCGCGTGGTCATGAGCGTACGAGCGGGTTTAGGGGAGGTGGACGTCAAAGTGGGAAGAGAGTGGTGCTTGAGCCTTTCTCCGAGACTACGCCCGTACCCGCTGCCGCTTCCTTCACGAACCAGGCAGCTAGGCAGCTACGTATGGCGTCCAGAAAACAATCGTCGCAACGAATTCTGGGTGTCGCATTGGGCTAGAATAGCTTCTACGACGTCCGAAGCAATGCAAAGTGCATTTGCCGAAGGATGATCGACGCGGCTTCGCGATGACGTCATGTTCGCCTTGCACTGATTGATGATGCAAATACGCCCGTGAGATGCATTCCCGCGGGCATACCCCAATATATCTTCTAATATTCAATTACTAGGGAACTAAGAGCAGTGAAGTTTGAGATATTGAGATTCATTCACCATGGCTTCAACCACAGAATCCACAGTCCCCCTCTGGATCGACAACAAGCCCATCCACACACAAACCACCATTCCCGTGACCCAAGCCAGCACCTCTAAAACCATCCACCACGCCTGTTCCGCCTCCACCACCGAAGCCACCGAAGCCGCCGCATCCTCCTTCTCCGCCTTTAAATCCTGGCGCTCAACCTCCCACACAACCCGTCGCAACCTCCTACACAGCGTAGCCACCTACTACGCCGACAATGCCTCTACGCTCATCGCCGCGCAAATCGCCGAAACCTCCTGCACAGAAGCCTGGGCGTGTACAAACGTGAACCTCTCCATCTCGTACCTCAACGAAATCGCCGCACAGATAAGCAGCGTAACGGGCGTTATCCCCCCGACCGAGAAACCCAACACACAGGGTTTTGTGTTCAAAGAACCCATCGGCCCGGTCTTGTGTATCGCACCCTGGAACGCCGCACTCGTTCTTGCTACGAGAGGAATAGCAAGTGCCATAGCAGTTGGCTGCACCGTAGTCTTCAAAGCGAGTGAACTGTGTCCCCAAACCCACGGACTCATTACGCAAGCTTTCGCTGAGAGTAGCTGTCCAGATGGCGTGTTGAACCAGGTGCAATGTGGGCGGGAAGATGCGGCTGAAGTGACCGAGACGTTGATAGCGCATGATGCGATTCGTAAGATTGAATTCATCGGTAGTGCGGAGGTGGGGAAGAAGATCATGGGCATCGCGGCCAAGTATCTCAAACCGGTTCTGATGGAACTAGGCGGGAAGTGTCCGGCGATTGTGCTTGAAGATGCGAATCTGGAGGAGGCAGCAAAGCAGTGCGGGATGGGGGCTGTGTTGAATCATGGGCAGATTTGCTTTAGTACTGAGAGGATTATTGTGATGGAGGGGGTGGCGGAGAGGTTTAAGACGTTGCTTGTCGAGGCTATGAAAGGGATGGAGGGTCCGGCTGGGCCCGCGGTGTCGGAGGGCATTGCGCGGCATGCTGAGGATGTTATTCTGGATGCGCAAGAGAACGGCGATGAGGTGCTTGTTGGTGGTGTTGAAGCTGCTTCTTCTGGGAGTGGGCTTGCGCTCAAACCTACGATCATCGTCAATCCCTCGCCTTCATCTCGTATCCTCGACGAAGAGACTTTTGGCCCTTCCGCTTCGCTTTACGTCGTTTCTTCAGATGAAGAAGCTATCGCG